GTACTCTAATCAATATACTATAAAAGAGAATGAAAAATATGCAGGCATCAAATGGATCAATAAGAAAGAAAAATGGCAGCATGTGCTTGGTAGATCTGTTCTAAAGTGAGGATGCTAAGAAGGCACTTTTACAAGAAACATTAATTCTTATTAAACACCAACAGGAACTTCCTATTTACTCATTCACAGGAAGACAGATGCAGCTTATGTGCTTAAGAAAATAATTTAAAGACTATGGAATGAACCAAGAATACTCTGACTCCCAAGGCATTCTGTTTATAGATGTGCATTACTCTTAAAGACAGTATTGACCACAAGCAACCTCTGCTTTAACTGGCCTCATTAAAAGGAACTTTAGTTTCAACACAGATGATTATTTCTGTCTGACAGACTAGTTGTTCCTTCCTTCTCGCAGCAAATAAATGGGTGGCTGTAGTACACTGAAAGACTTGCCTAAAAACATATTTTTATCTAACAATTTTAGCAAGTTTAAATGGTATTTGTGTTTTTATAAAACTGTAGCCTTAAATTTTAACTTTTTTCTGTTTTTTTTTTTCATCATTTAACCTTGTTCATTACAATTAAATATACAACCATATTTCAAAGAAAAATCACTGCCTGAAAAAAGTCAGAACGGGGAGGCTTTCTCTGGAAATACGTTACTGAGCACTTAAGGTTTGCAAGAGCAGCATGGTCTGCAGCTGCTCAGTCTCAGCACTTCAGTGCACCAACAATGAATGCACTTCTGAAAAAAAAAAAAAAAAAAAGGATTATTTTAAAGATATACTAATGTATAACCATCTACTATCACACAAATACCACAGCCCTGGCAGAGAACATTGAGTTTTAAGGGGAGAACTTGACCCTGCTCAGCACTTGCTTGGGTGCAATGCCATCTCACATCGTTTGACCTATACAAAGAAACTTGGAGGCAGAACAGCTTTAGACTAAAGTTTAAATTAGTTACTTGTTAATGCATATTCTTCTTGTCCCAATGAATGCCTTAAAACAAAAACAACTACATTAATGCAAAAAGGAGATCAAAAAATCTTTTATGGTCTGCCATAGTTACCTTTTTTTTATTTTACGAAGAGATTTCCAAAAGAAAAAAAAATGTATTTGGGTACAACAGTGGAATTTGTGTCATCATGACCAAATGATTACAGTGCAAACTGCAGATTCTCCGGTGGCTCCGCAGGCTTCTGGTCCCCATGGTAACTACAGCTCAGATATTGTCCTCCACTCAGCTGGAGCACCGAGAGTTGGGAGGCTTTTGTGCCCGGGAGATTTCTTCCACAACCTTCTAGCAACAGACCCTACTGCTTCCTCCTGACTCTTTCCTAATTGAGATGCAAATTAATCTCTGTGGCTGATTACACTTCCCTTAAAGCCACTGACAAGTGCAGCTGTAACCAGAGTTTACAGACTTTCCAACAAGTGACTTCAGCTGTCACTATTTGCATGCGGCTGCCAGAGCTCAGCAGCCCTCTGCACGGTGGATGCAGATCACTTCCCTTCAGGCACCGCAAACATTTATTCACTTCCCATCCTTAAATAGGAAGGTTCAAACAAGAGATCTGCCATGTGCAAGACGCCCGGATAAACTGTCCTGATAAATGTTTTACACTGCCAGCTTCAGTGGCAGAAAGGGAAGGGGAAACGGGAATATTTCATTTTATTTTTAAGCTTCCAACATCACTTAATAAACCAATCCCTCAAGTCTCCTTTTACAACTGTCCTTTGATTTCCCTCAGATTAGTCAATATTTTATTACTATCGAACGATTTACAACCAAACAGAGTGTTTAAGACCTGACCTAAGCAGCCACAGAGCAATCTGCACTGCTGTCCTTGCAGTTATTCTGTGCAATTACCAATTACCAATTTCTAACCACACTTGAATCGAGAACATTTTTAACTATTAACTCTTCCTATGAATGTCTGCTCTACAATGAAAACTGGAAGATAATTTCTCGGCTCTGCCTTAACAGGCTATCAAAACTTTCCTGCATCCAAACTGCAAAGTTATGTTACATATGCAGTATATAACATGTTTTGCATAACATAAAACATATGTTGTTTCGCAATATGCAAAAACATCACTCTTTACCATGAATATTGCTTTTTACTTCTCTCCATTCACATTTTCAAGTTATTCACCTTCCTTTCAGTGCCTTTATAATTCTTAAAGCTGCCTCTTTGTCCGTTAGCTACAGCCCCTACAGCCCGTTGATCTTTTGCATCCTCTTCCTTTCACCATCTCAGCTTAAAACATTTCAAACTTCTATCATCTACAAGTTAATAAATAAAACACTATAATGTCTTAAGAAAGGACTTTTACAAAACTCTACGCAACTGAAGAGTCCACTTCTGCAAAACCAGACATGCGAACGCACGTGTGTCAATCCTAATTAAAGCACACGTATTAAGCTGGCTTACAACTTTATGGAGCCTCTCTTCCCTAACACACTGCTGGTCGCTGCTGGACTTGGGAAGCTGAACGAAGAGCTGCACAGAGCCCAGACCCGTTTCGTGCCCGTCCTGTCCCTGCATCCCAGCACAAACCCTCTCTCCGGATGCCTCACACTGGCATACAGGTGTTAGCTCAGCATTTTCCTCACTATTTTCCTCTCCAACGCAATGAAATTATTGAACCTGTTTTCATTACCTCTAAATTGCTGGGCCAGCTCTTGTCCTGGTCGCTTAGTTGTAGTAACCCCTGAGAGCAAGATGATCCCTGGAGCCTGCACACTGTGGAAGAGCTACAGAGCAGCATCACCACCTGGGACACGTTCAAACACTTCCTTCCAAAATTCTCAGCATAGGCAACAAGAAGACATGATTGACTTGTAACTGCATAAGTTAGAAAGTCACCCTTAGACCACCATGGTTTTTGGGAAAGCCCAAATGGCAGCATGGGAGTTAGAGAAGGATTTCTGCCTTATTCGTAGTTATATCAAACGTGTCTGTTTTGAAGTCATTTTACTGTCCAGTTTCAGCTCAATCCTTCTCTCCCAGGAGCTTCTGAAGTGTAATCCAAGTTATGTAAAGCTTTCTCATCTACCCCAGGTCATCCTGACAGGATCTCCCCACCCCAACATCTTTCAGTTTCAGAAGTCTCTCAATCAACAGTCACTTTCCATTTGTCATAAAGAGAAGTAGCCTTTGAAGCACTACAGAAATTGCTGGTGCAAACAGCATGCCAAAAAGTCACGTATGCTGTCATGTGTGTGCCCCTCGTGTTTCACTATAGGATAAATAAGGACCATATAAGGACCTAGAAAGAAACCCAACTAGAAAGCTGAAGCACAGCAGGCCAGTGCAAATTACTGGCTCACAAAATGTGAAAGCTGCAAGATGAACAGGAGCTAAGAAACTGAGGACTCCTACTGGGAGGTGGTTGATAGGGTAACAGTAAGGGGCAACAGCCTCTCTCCCTTCCTACAAGCATCATCACTTACAGTAATTCTACTGCACTAGTTTTGTTATACACAGATTAATCCATTGGCTTGTATGTCCAAAGTTGCCAAGTATATTAGATAATACAGACTCCTAAAAAAAAGTATTTGGAAAGTATTATGTCTATTAAAAATATGCCTCAAGCTAATTTACCTATGTTCTTTCAAAGACCAAAACATTAATTTTCCAAACTCTTTCTCAAACTCATATGATTAGAAAAATCATTATATGAAAAGTATCCAGAGAAAGTGAAGTGCAGTGAGTGTTGGTCCTGAGATGTGATTAACAAAATGTGCTGTAAAACATTCCTAGTGCAATTATGGCATGAGAAAAGAATCCCACGCAGTCAAGCAGCAAATGATTTTATGCTCTTAGTTTGCATATCATGCAAGAATGAAAGTCAATACTACGTGTTTGGTAAGAGAAAAGCCTTCTATCTACTTATCTTCCAGCAACTGGTACAAGATAGGTTCTGAAATTCCCTAAATACAGACATGCTAGCATATAAATCAAACTAGGCAACTGAAACATCCAAATCATAGGTCAAACCTTATCTGTGTTCCTAATGCACTAATGCATAATGTGTTAGTAAAGCCCCAGTAAAGGCAGTGGAACTACTTCCTTGAATAGGAAGGTGAGAATACAGTTTGCTCTGTGTATTAGTCTAATACTGACTATAGGTGACTACTTTATTAGCATGAAAGGAAATTGAAGATTATCACCACTTACAGTTCAAAGAATAAATGTAAGCCTACCCTGAGCAAGATTCTCCAGAACTGTTGGTGAGATCATTCAGCTGATGTTTTAACCTTATTTTTAAAACCTTAGGTTATAGCTGGGTATGCGTGACCCTAAAAACACGGAGATTGATAGAAAGTTTTTTTACATTTTTTCAGTAAAATTAAATTGGAAGACTCTCATGAACACTTACCTCTAACAGAAGAATATCAGGAATGAGAGACACTACCTAAGTGCATCACATCAGTAGGAAGAAAGGATACAAGCTCTGGTAGAGTGGGATGAGGGACTTCACAGCTCTGCTGGCATTGATGCACGTGGCACATACAAGGCTTGGCAGCAACTTCGCAGTCACTATCGCTCCATCAAAGAGAGGACCAAAAAATGGCACCTGCAGACCCCAAAATAAAATCAACACACACAAATTAAGGCCAACTGGAGCTGCAAAATTACTATAGATGTGTAAGGACATTTTATAGAATACTCAACTCTGTATATGTTAATTTGTGATGTATAGAAACAAAATTCATCTATGAATTTGAAATTGATTTTCCACTTTGTATAGATAGTTTAGAGATGTTTTCTATCTTGCATCTCACAACAGGAGACCCTGATTAACTGGGCTGAGCAACACAGCATTGGCAATTCCTCTATGAACTCCTTCCCTGGACATCGCTCCAGGAAAAAAACCTGATCCAAGAAAATCAGATCTATGGAAAGTAAAGATGGCAGAAAAATAAAAACTCTCCAAGTTAGTAGCATGTAATAAATTGGGACAGATGCCAGCAAGTCTAATCCCAGTATACAAGGTACAATGTTAAAACTGTGTTACTTTAAGGTTTCCTTCAGAGGAAATAATGATATTACAATATTTCATGACCTATGGTTCTTCAGAAAAATATCTGTATCGGGTAAAAAGCCCAAAGACTTAATTAAAGTGAAAAACATCTGGAATTACATATGTGTAAGAGATTTTGCAATGTCAAAACAAGAAAATCTTACATTAAAATGTATAGTAAATGTTAATATTTACAAGTAGTCAAATATTTACAAGTACTCATTTTCCTAACACCAATTCAAAATGGACCAAAAACCCCACACAGAAGCTGGCAGCAATTATCAATATTTAAGCTATGGATTTTTTTCTACCCGTATAGAGGCTTATCGCATAAATAAATACCCTCTATTATTCTTCTGCAACTGCTCATGGGTGACTGTGACAGTCATTCAATAAACGGACAAAGGGAATAATATAAATCCCTTGCATCTAGGGAATTCTTCTAATTAGAAGTGGCAATGAATTACAGGAGAAATTTGGTTTTAATATAACATCTGCAAGTGACAGCTGTCTTTTCACAGAGATTTTCTGTCATTCCTTTACTTAAATAATCACCAAAACCAAAAAAAATAGATCAGTGTAAAATGTTTCCCTAGTGTGGGGGTGTTGTTTGGTTCTGTTTTCTTGTTTAAACTCTTCCTCTGTTCTTCTCATGAATTCTTGCTCACGTGGTACTGCTCAGCATTGCTTCTCATGCAATAATTGCAAAGGGTGCTAACCAGTAAATTTAGCAAAAATATCTCCAAACTGTCACAATCAACTGTTGTTTTAAATTAAAAAGTTTCACTGCTGTTTTTTCTGAGAGCTTAACATCCACACTCCATTAAAACACACTTTTATCTATGGAAAAAAACTCTTTCTAAACTAAAAAGGGGACTCCAAGGTCCAGCCTGGTCCAGCCTTAACCAGGCTGCTGTCAGCAAGTAGCAAAGGAAGGAAGGAAACAACAAAACCCAATACAATAAAATGATGTTTATAACTTAGCTCATCATCTCTGCACACATTAAGCACGGGACTTTCAAAAGGAGGAAAGTATAGGTACTTTTTCCCCCCGCCCAGGACAGATTATTTCCAGAAACGTGTCCTAGGGATACGCTTGGCCAGAAATTATGTATTTTTTCATAGAGCAAAGGTAGCACACACCGTCAGATGGAAAAAGAAAACAACGCAGTACAGGACGGAAGTGACTTTGTACAGAAGTGAATAATTTTATATTATCAAAGAAAAACAAACATAATGCAAACGAAGGCACATTAATACTTTCCCAAATTTGAGTTGCCCTCAGATTCAGCAGCCCGGCTGCAGGTCATTAAAGTCAATGTAAGGCAGCAGGGCAACCGTGTCCATCTGCACAGAGCCGGTGCCTGGCTGAGGCAATAAATGAACCGCAGGGAAACGGCAGCATCTTCTGCTCGGGCCTTGTTGTAAGTTGGTATTTGATGATAGACTTAAATAAGAATCAATTAAAAAAATATTGAAGAGGGAAGGGGAAAAGTCCCCTGCTTAACCACTCCAAATGTCAACGCATGTTACGCACAAAGCAGAAATTAATATTCCCCACACTGCAAACACCTGCCTCCTTAAAATTTCCAAAAAGAAAAAAAAAATATTTTTTGCTGCAAACAGCAAAAGTAGGCAAAGTTAAATAAACCTTCAGAGTACAAAGGCTTCACTTCTATAGCAAGCAGCACTAGTTAAAAGACTGGGGAATGGGTAAATTATTGTACCAAATGGCTGAGAATTAATCTCTGATGACTAGCTGCAATCTAACGAGGCATCTGTGTCCCAGGGAACCCACGGCGTGTCCCTGGCGGTATGTGCAGTGTGTAGAGTCTGCTTGGCATTCTTTGTCCTCTTTTGCAGGCAGCTTTTCGTCTCATTGTTTAGAATATCCTCATGCATCTGTGACGCGTGGAATGCATTCATCCTAACAGACTTACTATTGTTTTCGCTCCGAAGCTTTGTTGAGCAAAGACTGCATCACGGTTCCTGATAATTATATTGCTTAATTAATCAAGACAAAAAAAATTTGCAAATCATTGCCTGGTTGCCAAGCAGGGAGATAAAAAATGAAAACAATACAAGCTGAGGCAATATAACAAAAGTAACAGCTATCTGATCAGAAATTCTTATATAATGAAGCTATTAATGCTAAATCGGTTAATGTTAACATTGCTCCAGGTGTCTCTACTTAGACACAAACAAAAAGGCTAACATTATGTATATAAAAGGCCAAATGTTGCCATGGATTCTGTAACCTGATAGAGAGGACAGCCTTTTCATTTGATTAGGGAATGCAATTTAAATACCAGGGACTGAAGCCAAACAACAGACATTTCTCTCTGCAAGCCTCTTTCATTCACCCTGGGGTCAGTAGCTGGTGAACAAAAGGTCAGCCACACTTGCCCTGGAAATGTCTGGATTAATTTTATTACATTGTAATGGTTTGTACTTTAAATGCAAGGATAACACTAAATTTCCAGTTAGCTATTATTCCTTCAGTCCGTTGGGCATTTTTTGGCTAACATATACAACAGCATGGCTTTTTTTTCCTGATTGATTCGCAGAATTTTTAAGCATCTTCATAAACCAAATTCGGATTTTCTTATGGAACTCTGAACTTGAGATGCATTAAAAGCTATTTGCTATTTTAAGGTCATTTTTACTAAAATTTCTGAGAAATAAATTATAGAGCTGAAAAAATAAGTTTAAAGACAAAAACAAAAGAAAGTATTTCAATTTATTAAAAAAAAATCATGTTTCTTATTGAAAATGACTGCTGCAAAATCTAGTTGTTAGTATATAATAGCTGGATCTCAATACTCAAGAAGTATTCCATCCAGTGATTAAGTATGTCAGATTTATACATTTGCCAGAACTGGTTGTTCTCTTGGACAAATATTGCTTTTCATATAAAGGAAAATATTTATCACATTGGTTATTTCCACAAAGCATATTTTATACACATTTTTGCATTTATAATGCCAGAGAAGCATTTAAGCTAGTCCTTTTATATGCACACATATATACAGATAACTCGACATTCTACAACCAATTGGTTATTTCCACAAAGCATATTTTAAACACATTTTTGCACTTATAATGCCAGAGAAGCATTTATTAAGCTAGTCCTTTTATATACACACATATATACAGATAACTCCACATTCTACAACCAAAAAAAAATCCATTATTTCAAAAAAAAAAAAAAAAAAAAAAAAAAAGGGTAAAATGCAGTTAGAAAACATTAGCATCAAAGTACTTTGATGCCAGGCTGTCCAGTGACTCCATCATTCCAGCAAGTGAGATTATCAGGAGGGTCTCAAAACATGTGAGGTAACACACAGTGCCATATGTACAACAGGAGCTAAGCCGTATGGGGTGAATTAATAGCAAAAGAAGAACCTAAATCTTGATTATTTTGCATCGATTGGCTTACGTTGGAAACCACAATCATTTTAAACATTGTTCCCTGTATAATAACTTCTACAGATTTCGACTTTTGAAATACTTCCCTTCAGCAACAACATAACACGGACTGCTTTCTTTTCATGCGTAGGAATTAAGCCTCGCTTTTAAACTGAAATGGATAAACTGCATTTAGTATTTGTTGCAGAAAGGAGGAGGATGCTAAGGCAGTTTTATATGAGCAACAAAGCTGTTGGTCACATGAATAACACACGACAGATCCAATAAAGCAGTCAAAACATACCTCTGGTTTCTTCATTATCTCTATGAAAAACATGTGATTCTTCATCGGATAAATAACAATTAAAACATCTCCAAAATCCGTGGGTATAATGCCCCTGCGGTAGTTCCTGGTGTGCTCCGACCAGACGATGTGAACCTCATCATTTCCCAAGTGACGAAGCTGCAACGGCAAATTGGCTCTTTATTAATCAGAGTGATAACAACAGTTTATGAGGGGTCATGGCTTGCAAATTGAATTACAATGCTCAATAGTAGAAATATTTCATTACGGAAAAAGTTAAAATATTGTTTTTCCCTCGTTGCTCATGAAAAGATCAGTTAAATAATTTGTTTCATTCAGAAGGCATTGTTATCTGATGGCTTAATTAAGTAATTAGCAAATTACCCATTAGCACGATATGTAGACGTACATTACCTATAATAATTTAAAGATGGTAATCTGAATTACCAGAGCAAAACATTAACAACAGAACATCGTACTGCGGTTAAAATACCACAGCTGTCACAGAAATAAAAAATGCCACAATTAAGGATGGTGGAGAAATTGCCACTAAGAACCTCTATTACTCCATTTATCATAAAATGAGTATTTCTTTGTGGATTCAGAGTCTGAAAATAATTTTTGTTTGAAAACTGAAACAAAATTCCTTGGAATAAAGCAAGTCACAGCAGAACGTAAAATATTTGGGGAATTACTTCTTTATTTTAAGCAGAGTTGCATAAAACTAACTCTCAATATGACTTGCATAGAAAGCCCCTCTGCAGATCTGCATGTTTGCTTTGGTGGTGACCTAACAGATGGCAGAAAGTATTTGAAGATGATGTACAAGCTCTGCACAGCAGCCTTCACTGTAAGCCTTAAAGGTAAAATTTAACCCACACTAAACGTGCCAGCCCCAAACAAAGCGAATTTAAGTCCCACTTAAACCTGAAAAATGATCATCTCCAACTTGGTGTTGGCTTCTTGAAAAATGTACACCATAGACCTAACAAAGCAGCCATATCACAGATCTGCTTTGCTCATTATCTCCACAGAGTAGAACAAAATCATTAGATAAAAACAATTAAATAATCTCTGCAGGCCCTGTATTAGTCTGTACTGATCACAGAATTTTCCCTCCAGGGGAATTCCAGATGACACCTTTAAAAAATTTCACCTCTATAAGGCTGGATGACAAAGGGTACACAGGTTACAACACAAACAACCATGGAAAAGATCATGAGAATGTTAAAAAGCACCAACTTGGCCAACTGTCTGCACTCCAACAAAATAAAATATAACCAAGTTCACGGAATTACTGAAATTGTCTACTGAAATAAAGAGTAATTGCATTTTGTTTACACCTATAAAAGAAAGATAGCTTTAATTCTGCTTGAAGCAAAGATAACATTTCCTGAGGTATTTTATTAAAAAAAAAAAAAAGTCACACCTGAAGCTTCTTAGGTGTGTACAAGTGAGGGTGCATTACTGTCCAATCATCCATTCGTGATTGCTCTTGTATTTTTTAATTACCCAGTGAAAGTAAAAAAAACACCCACGAAAATATTCATGTCAACGATATCACATTGCAGACCAATACATGCAAAACTAATTACTCATTTAAGCTTATGACAAAAGTCTGATTTCACTGCAATTGATGGCAAATGCCCTTGTTTTGGTGTATCTAGATTCGCATCTGAATTAAGGGATGCAGCTAGGTGACTGCAGAAATGATGCAAAGTCTAGATTTTTAAAAAAATCAAATCAGTCTGGCTACAATACTTCGTGCGCAACAGGTCACGCAAAGCGAGAACTGTGGCAGTTGGCAAGGCCACCCCAAACACAGCCAAAGCGAAACAATAATTTACTAGAAAAGCCAAGTGAAACGAGGGCCCAGCTCCCACCAGCTGTATTCAGAGCAGGTCAGCAGCACTGCACCCTTAAGCAGAGCACTGAATTTATGACATCCCACGTAGGCACCCATCTCACTGCAGACTTGAGTTCTAGGACAACCCATAAAAAAACCCCAAAGGCTCTATTTAGCCACCTCTCATTTAAGAAACTTAATGAATATGAAGAAAGAATTCAGTAAGATATTACACTCTGCTTGTTTTTGACAACAAATGAAGGCCAAGTGCTCAAAACCTTGCAAACCTCCAAGTGCATTCTTAATCACTGTGGTTATAAGGCGTTATCATATAAACTTAATCAAAAATATTTGCTCTGGAAAGATCTTGTCTTTGATAAAACACGGTATAATAATCTTATCAGTGACAACATGCCAGCGGCCAGTTCCTTATCACTCACTCAAGCACAAGTTACATGGTAGACTAAGAATGGAAAACGAGCAAGGTCTGGTACAAAGCAGCAAACACAGTGCATATGGAGCAGCAGATTCATGTAATATTCTCCATATAGTTTATGTGTGGAAACTGCAGAACAGCCAGAGAATAAAACATTAAGAAGGCAACGAAGCGGCTACAGGCGCGTGCTGGAGCGCGGCGCTTCCTCCGCGTCGCCCCTCGCCCGCGCAGCAAGGAGCCGCGGCCGGATGAGGGCCGAGCTGCTCGTGGCTCCGGCTCCCGCGTGCCGCCCCGGCGCTCTGGCGCTCGGCAGGGGACACGCGCGGGGCGCGCGCCACCGCTCGCCTCGGGCCGCCGGCTGCCTGCCACGGCCCACACCTAATGGCCTGACCTCCTTTCCCCGCTAATTGCATTAGGCAGCCAGCTGGCTCCAGAAGGGAGTCGTCTGTTTGACGGAAGAATTCCTGCTTTCGGGCAGGCCTGGCTGCTACTTTGCCTAAGTAACAGCGAGGCCTGACATGGCCATTGTGGGCCTGACAGTGCGGCCATCCTCGAATCCCGGTTTTATTTGTAAATTAAGCGAGAAACTTCCTGCCAGAGCCGCGCTGCCTGGAGACTGATAATGTGCGCCTTTCATTCCCTTTCACTCTTACTGTATCACTGCCAATTTGTTTTTCTGCTGCTCGCCAGCCTTAGGCTATAAAAGCCTTGTAAGACATAAGTGCAATTATAGTCCTGGAGTCAAATGAATTGGACAAATCCAATAGCACAGCCCTGGCCCCACTCGGCAACCCCCTACAGCAGTTAGATTAGCCGCTAAAAATCAAATCTAGCTCCAGCTAACAAATTTCGGCGGTGAAGGAGCAAGAGTTCAGGATGGGGTTGCAACCAGATTTCTGAATTTAAAAAGTTCTGCTAGGACAACGGCAGAGGATGGAATAAATCACTCAAAAATCCCGCAGCTCATTTTTAAACAGTTAGGGACAATTTAGCTGGAACAAGGCAGCAGAGTGGAGAATGCTGTTACTATGATTGATTTTCATTTTTGCTACAAGACATCCAGATAAAGAGAGTTGGGAACTAACGACGCTGATTCCTACAGCAGCAAGGATATCAGCTGAACTGTGAATATTTCACCAAAACACATTTGTTTATTTTTTCCAGAGCCAAGACTTATTTGGAGATTTTTTTCTTTGAATGAGCAGCATAATGCACCAGCATCTAAAGGAAGAAAAACTGCCAATTACAACTGCAAGGCGCAAAAATAAATGGGCCAAACTGAGCCTCAGTGGAAGTGCACTTATTGTGGGGGAATTTATACCACAATTGAATTTATCCTCCTGTGTTCCGTAAAAGTAAGGAATCATAACAACATATTTAAGGAGAATTACTGCATCTGCTTAATTCCGCAGCCCACAGAATTTATGGCCTGCTGCACGGCTTCCTTGGCCAGCAGGTGGTAAGACCTTCTGTTCAGCTCCGGAGCTTGCTAGCCCAGCAAACTGGTATTGAATTCTTTTTGCCTGTCTGTTGGCAAAATAAGCAGAGAAGAAGCCACAGAAAGGAAACAGGGATCTCCCAGATAAAGTGCAGCTTAGATGACCATTTTTTGATCATCATACATTTGCACTGCAGCAAAAAAATAAAATAAAGCAGATGCTAAGTTACAACATAGCACTCTACCTTCCCCCTACATGCTGTTACGAAATAGAAGCATTACTGAAATTAGTAAATATCAACTTTTGCATCATGGAAGATCCACATCTTGACACACCACTCCATAAATCTGAGATGAGAACTCAGGGTCATCATTCACCAACTTTTCTGTGAGCACATGGAACTATTAAAACACTTTTAAGCCCCTTCACCCACCAGGTGAAGCATCTGCAAAGTTCCACTCGAGCAGGACTCGGGGGTCGTATCCTTTGATCCTTAACAAAAATGGGTGGAGGAAGGGGGCACGTTCTCCTGTTTAACACTACAAAGAAGTCAGGCACGTGCTTCTTTTTGAGCACTCATGCCAGTTGTGGTCTGCACATGGAAAGGCAGCCAAAGTCAACGCAGGATTCAGAGAGAGATGAGGAATTCTGATGCTGAAGTGCCAGCGTATTTGTATGCAAACATATGGCCTGCTTGCAGCTAAGATTCAGAAGTGCAATTTCAAGAAATGGACCCTTCAGCTCTTTAATAGATTACAGTATGTTTAGCACTGTCTTTAGAATGTTTTGGATATGCATTCATGCCAAAAACACCAGCTTCAAAACAAGGTCTCCTTTCGCCATCATTACCAAAGAATTAGAAAACTACAGCGCTTTTGAAAAGCATCTTGCATCCAGTCTCAGCTGCAGGTTTGTACAGTTTATTAAGTACATGCTGATTTGTATAAAAATATATCCTAGTTTACAAAAAAGTTGTAAGCAAAATAAACAAAAAGAATATTGCATATTAAAAAGGAGCTCTGGAAGTCACCTGGTCCATCTATCCACCCAATTAAAGCAAAGTCCCACTCTGAAAATACATTAGGTGACTCAGAGCCTTTCCTTTTTTTTACAGAAATACAGTTTAAACCCTGCTGCACTCCCATTCCAGTAGAAGATCTTTCTAAGTTTTAAAGCAATTAATTTGTGGTATTTTCTGTGGCTAATACGTGCTGGAACTGGCCTTGTTTCCTACCCCTTCAGGACTTGGAAACTACCAATTATTAAATGCTTTTGCTTTTTGTTTCTTAAGCCATCTACATTTCCTACAGGCTAAAGCAAATTTAGGAAACACAATTAAATACAATAAATATAGACTCTCTCAATAGCTGTATTAATCACTAACATGGGTAGGCATTAGGGCTAAGTAAAATAGACTGTTTGCAAACAAAATCCAGTTTTGTTTTCCCCAAGCTCTGTCTGACTGTGTTCCTTCCTTTCTCAGCTAGCTGGTATTCCACAGCCTAGGAAAGCAGGACAGCAGTTCTCAAAGACAAGCAAATCTCCTGAACAAGGAAGGAAATATTCTGTTCTCTGTATGGCTGTGGAACAGGGTAAGAGCAAATGGGCTTAAATTGAACCCGAATAAACAAAAGAAGAAATTTGCTCATGGTACAGAGAGTGAAGCACTGGACTATGTTGCCTAGAGAAACTGTAAAGCATTCATAATTGGAGATTTTAACCAGAAGCTTGACAAATATCTGCCAGGAACAAGAAAAGCACAGGCAAACCACCTACCTTCATACAGCATGGACTATACAGCCTTCAGTGTGCAGCAGAGCCTTATTTCTCTGTCTTAAAGTGCTCAGATTACACTCTTTTCCACTCTTGGGTAAAGAGTGGAATATGAAAACACACAGATAGTGAGCCGCATGTGTACAGAGAAACTTAGCTTTGTTAATACATTTTTTTCCATGACAGCACAAGGGAAAAAAGGGTTTAGCTTTACTACTAAAAGGCTAGGCAAGTTCTCAGGACAGGTAATCTGGAATTCCACCCTTTAACTTCTAAGAAAAGCTCTTTTTTAAAAACAAAAAGAAAACAAAAATACCTGGCAATATATATACACATACTTTTCAGAGCACAACTGTATCACGTAGCAGACTGGATGGCTGTGGTAGCATTATTCATGCATATTAACAACACACACAGGACAAGTTGCCAATCCTAATTAAAAAGGCAAGGATTTGGTATGCACCTAAAATCTTCTTTGACTGTAAAACAGTGGCTGGCAAGCACCATAATCTCTTATTAGGGAAGACAAGAGATTAAGTAGAGCAACCAACATTTTGGGCTGGGCTCTAACCATCTTTGAAGCAGACTCTGTTTTTCAGAATTGTGACTAACTGGATAAGAGTTTTAAATATCAGCTGGCTGCTTTGTGGTACTATGCTTGTCACTTCTCTTTCACTTCCTTTTTTTTCTCTTATCCTCTGGACAATTTGTCTGCAAGGTTTTATCATGCTGCATTTGCTTTTTTGTTGTTGTTGTACCAAACTACAACAGTTTTGGCAGGCAGACAACATACAAATGAAATTATTGCTAATATTATTACTAATGATGGTATTTGAGGCTACCATGGAAATGTTAATTGTATTCTAGAATCCAGAATTTAGATGCCAATTAATTCAGATAATCTAGCAGCAGAGCTCCATGTGCTACTAAGCTAAGATGACCTGTTAGGACCATTTGGTACATTCTGTTTTCAGTTTAAGCTTTAATCTAAGCATGTGAAGGCAACATAAATTACTTACAAATACACAGCGAGTCATTTACCTTTTTGGTCAGTGAATCATCTGAATCTGATGGCATTCTTGTAGACACATGAAAAATGATTTCCACAGTAGAGGTAGCATAGTAGGGTGCTGTTTGTCCTGTGCTGCCATTACGTTGCAGGCCGCCCATAAAGCCACCGTGTGTTGAAAGATCAACCTAATGGATTAAAGGGTCTAATTAAAAGAAATTATTTACGCATTTATTTATGCATCAAGGCTTTAATTGTGAAGTTACCACTGCAGAATTCTGTAATCCTCTCAGAGAAATCTTCCTATATACAGTTTTTGTGATCTCTACATAAGAAGAAATATATGGAGAAAATATAAACAAAAACAGCAGAAGAAAATGAAAATTTATAGAGAAAGAAAAAAACACATGGAAGGAATCATTCTAAAACATTATTGAGAAGAAATGCCTCTCTGAAGAACCTGTGTCCAAAAGTTCCTCTGTTTTCCCAACTATCTCAGCGTAACTTGAGATACAAACTCTCTCTGAAAACCTGCTTCACTTATATCCATAGATACAGCAAATGAAACAGAGTGACCATGTATTTTCAAAAAAACAAATGCCCACATCTCAACAATGCAAAGAAAAGAAACTGTCCTGTCCTCTGCACACGTTTTGCAGTTGGGTTTGTAGTTTGACCACATGAAGAGGTAAGAGCATTCAGTACAGCAGCTGAGTATTTGCCTTTTACAGCTTCTAGCAATCCAGAAAGCAGAAACATCAACCGTAGCATCCTCAAGCATCAGCACAGGAAGGATATGCAACAGTACTGGTAAATTCTATTAGAGGGGACTGGATTTTGTGCATGCCAAGCTAGTGACAGCAAACAAGTGAATGAGGAACACCGCAGTGCCTATCTTCCTGCATATCTTTCCTGTCTGGCAGGTGCCTGAGGCTTGCATAAGATGGTACTGGAAAGCATTTCCAACAAGTGACAGGCACTTAAAAAAATTAAAAGAAAATAAAACAAAAAATCTCCATCAAAAAACAACTTGCATAATTTAACTACTTCTCACCACTTGGCTACTGCTTGATGAACAAATGGTCTAACTGCCTTCTAGACAGGGGATTTTTAAAACCTGACTCACATTTTCTTCCTCACGCCGAAGATGCACAGTTTCCACTACTCAAAGGAATAGAAAAATGGAAGAATTTCTTCTTCAGTCAGTCTGGCAAAGACTCGAGACCTTTGCCAGGGGACAACTTGGTCATCACAGCAGTCTGATGAAAAGCTCAACAAAAACCCTCAAACTTTCTTCTTCTCTTGAAGACCAATGTTGGCTAGGAAAAAAACTGACCAAAAGGCAAAGGATCTTAAAGACTTAAGGAGAAAAAGTATGAAGCATGTAAAATCAGCAAAGGCTTCAGGGATATCAAGATGGGAAAAGAAGAAAAAGAGGAATCTTCACTTCTTTAAAATCCTATAGTACTGGGACATCACTCAAGAGAGCTGATTACAATTTTTCTCTTTCCACAGAAGAAAAGGTAAATTACTCTTGATTTTTCAAGTTTCTACTCCAGAATTGCCTATGTCTGCGACCACAATCATCTCATTTTCCACTACTGTCCTCCGCTGTAGGTGACTGTTGAAAAAGCAACCCAAACCAACTCACTGACTTCTTCTGAAGGTCATCCTGGAAAACCAGCACCAAGGCTATCAGGCAGGTAGGAACATTCTGGCCAAAACAAGCAGGAAGGTGCTGCTTCGTAGCTGGGATGAGTGCCACTGGTCACAGTGTGTCACATCAACTGAAATTTTGCCTTCCCTTTTCTAAAAGAAACCTAAGACAACCTACCATGTACTTACAGGAACCAGGTGAAAAGTTGCAAAATTTTGCTACCTGCCGATTTTAACACCCTCTATATACAGTAATTGATTTAGTAATAATCCAAAATTCTCTGGTTCGTTTCTCATGTTATGAAAAACAAAAATGCTGTTTCTTAGCTAAAACACAGAAATCCTAATGGATTCCTCTGATGGCACACAGGTAAATTAAACTTGCTTTAAAGAGGCTTTCAGCTTCCTTATATGCAATTTCCTAAAATATCTCACTGAATTTACAGAATTCTGCTAAATAAAGTGGTCTTCAGAATGGTACTACAAAATATTAATTAGTATGTATTAAAATTTATGTTTTATTTGAAAATAGAAAATATAGGTAGTTACAGATGCAATGTTTTCTAGGTACCTCCATTACCTGACTTTTCTCGATTTTCATAGGTTTTCAAATTAATATATTGAAGTTTGCCTAGATCTATGACCCATTACCTCCCAGCCCAGTCCAGCAACGAAGTCCTCGTAGGCCTGGCTTCCCCTGGTATTGGACAGGATGGAGCACTTGTCTTCCTGCCCTTCTGCAATGTAAAACACTGCAATCTTGTGAGTCTCGCGGCTGAAATCGGATATAACGGGAAATGAAAATTAACAAGTAATTTTAGCTCCAATTTTTTTTAAATCATCTGCACTTGGAAGAATATGAGCAAGGAACTGTGTTTTGCTCTAGGTATCAGCTTCTTTTAGGAATGCAAATACACAGTTCAACTCCAGGCACAGAAATACAGTTTTCACCATTTTTCCCCCATCATGATCACACTTCAGAGGCACCACAGCTCAGGGAGCTGAACATCCTGGTATTCCTAGAAATCAGCACAGGAATTGATTACCCAGTTCCAGTTACAAGATTAATCACCTACATCTGTGCAAGCGCACTGAAGACAATAAGATGGCACAGGTGTTAATGAGAGCATAATTTGACCTACAGAATTTTAATTACGGGGTGATGATATAAAAGAAAAAAATAATTTATTGACTTTGAGCACTTAGGTTGAGTTTCACAAGGCTTATAGTTGGCTTGTTTGAATAAAAACTGAGAGAATTTGATATGAAGATTGTTGGGGTATAAGAAAAACAGGTCTTCGCAATGCTGCAGACAGTTTTCAAGTAGCTATATGCTAAGAAATAAAAAATAAAATACAATATTCAGAACTCTATTTTGCCACCAGCCAGCTGCAAAGAAATGGATTTGAAATTGTTCTTTAAAATGTTGCTCTTGGCACAGGGACCAATTTAAAGAAAATATTCATTTATTTGAATCTAGACAAGGTAATCAACATTTCTTCCCTCCCCTCTCAACTACAGACACAAGGAGGAAAGACGTTGTTGTGTATTATTTCTGTTACGTATTTTGAATTTTGTATACAGTGCCAACAAAAATAGTTCCAGAACTGTTTAGAAGCAAACAGCCATTTGCATAGAAATATTTGTACTGCTGTCACATGTAATTTCTATTAAGTTTGGTTTGGTGATGAACTAGTCCCTTCTTTGGAAAAGCTGACCTTACCAATAGCATGCTTAGAAAACATTGCCTACCACTGACGGGAATCCAGATTTTTCAGTTCTCTTAGTAATTTTGAATTCGTCTTCAGAAGATGGAAACTCTTTCTATTTAAAAAAAAAAAAAAAAAAGATAAAGGTCAATGCACCACAGTATATGGTACCTTAATGCCCAAATACTTCAGGAGGAAATTATAAATGCAAATGTAAAATTCTACTTTTATTATAAATATTCTGCAAATATACTAATTACTGCAACAGCTACTGTTAAGGGTCAAAACTATGTTCTTTCTGACTACTAAGCAGCCACATAACTCTTGTTTCAGTGTGTTTGTTGAGAGGAGTGAGTCAAAGCAAGAGAAGTTTTGTAGCTTCCTCTGAAAATAAGCAGATTCAGGATATTGTAGACCTATGAATACTTCATGGAGAATTTCAGACTAACAAGCCTTTCCTGGATAATTGTAAGTCACAAGAGCAGCGACCCGACAGGATAGAAAAAACATCCTGCTCCTCCCCGCCACCCCTAAAGTCAGAGGTAGCAACCGTACTGTGAATGGCCCTTCAGAAACATCCGTTCTTACCTTCTATCCCAGGAATTCATTCCCAAGTCATTTAGCAACAACCTACAAAAATAAAATGATGCTTGGGGTCGAGCAGGGCAGGGTTCTTCTTGATGGGCTACCTTTATACCAAAGGCAGAACTGCATTTAAATATATGTTCTTTTTCCTGGGCACTCTGCCTCATGAGAGCTTCAATGATTTCATTTTCTTGATCGCAGCTCATGCCAAACGGTGCTGGCGACGGCTCATTGAGCTTTCCCTGGGGATGCAAGAGGCACTCGGGACTAGAGCTACCAATCTTTTCCAGCAATGTGTCAAGAGCATCTTCTCCTTCCTCTACTTGAGAAAGATCTTCCAGCGAATTAGACTGGTGCTCAGGATGGCCTGCAATCACAAATGAGTTTGTTCCACTTTGCCGTGGAAGACAGCCCTCCAAAGGGCCATATAATATCCTGCCATCCCATGAGTATTTCCCTGAGATATCTCTGACAATTACTCTTACATCTGAGGGGGCTACTGCTGCCTCAGTATCTACTTTGTTTTCTGCAGGAATCTGAAGGTAAGATAGAAGAGTACTGTCATTAAATACAAATAATTGCAGGTTTGGACTTCTGAAGACTTCCGGAGACAGCTCAGAAGACTCCACATACGAGTTGTCATGATTCTCACTGAGAAGACTGTGAAGAATTGCAGGACCTCCACTGAGCGGATAGTGGCTTAGGTGGTTCACAAGATGTGTCATAACCATCCGTGCAGTTAGAGGTATCAGTTCGAGGCTTCTTCTTCTTTTCTCTAAGACAATCAATAAAAAGATAGTAACCAAACAGAAGCAAGAGGAAGTAAAAAAAGCATCTGCAAATTTCTGTTGCATTTTAGAAGCTTGCCTCAATTTCCTTTCAAAGCATCCCTCTTCAAGAAACAATTTACAACAACTTTCCAATACATCTTCTACCTTTCACACACTTTTATTTTGCCATATGCCCTTTGCAATTTAGCTTACAGTGACATCCAGGTATGCAGAAACAGCTCCTGGCCCCGATTGCTTTGTTCCTTACTGCCTAGCACTAAACATCCTTGTGCGAGATGCCTCCTTCCCTTGCCCAGCTCTCCAAGACTTTACATAAATGCCTGTGAAATCACAACCAGGTTTGTGAGAACAGTTGGCTTTTGAAAATACGCTTCACGCCTCATAACAAAAGAAAATCTCCAAATCCTGTCTGATGACTTTTAAGAAGCATCACCAAACCTAGAAACCACTGAACATCCACACACATGCAACTTTGTTCTGTGGGTGGTGTTTCTGAATAATGGGGTACTAGTTTTGTGAGGTAACGGGTTCAGATAATTTTTCTATTTTTTTCTTGCTCCTTTAATGCAATATAAAAAAAACAGAACAGTATTATTTACAGTTCTGTATATAGAACTCTAAGTAATAGAACTGACCACATCTAGCCTGTTGTCAGGCTAGAGTTGTCTAGAGTTTCATCACTGTAAATAATACTGTATCCTTTTTTTATATTGCATATATTGTATATAGAACTGTAAATAATAGAACCGACAACATCTAGCCTGTTGTCACTAGTTTCATTTGTCACCTTATATTGTTTCTTACATACACTGTTTCTACAGACATAACTATAGCAAAGAAAGCAAAAGATGGAAGGGTGTAAGAACAAGTTGCCTTTAACAGCCATGGTTAAATTAATTCTAACAGGTAGAAAGAGGCTTTCTGGATCCCAAGACGTTCCCTTCACATCAAAGACAAATGTATTAATTACTTTCATAAACTGATTGTTCTCCCAACTACATTTTGCCTCCACTTCTCCTCCTGGAATGTTATACTGCTTTTCTGTATCTCCATATATAAAATGTACACACTTGTAATTGCCAGTCTGCATGCAGATACAGCATGCACCCATTCAGTTTACACTTTCTTGCTCTTTCCTTGCTATTTATACCTTTTAACATGCTTTCTAAATAGCAGGTATATCCCTTTTCAGGTTTCATTTTGCTAGGACCAAAAAGGCGAATGTTTTTAAGTCTCCTCTCATAAAAAGATTATGCTTTTCCTGAATTCTCTAGCAGTGTGCTTCTGTGCCTGCTCCAGTTTGAATTAATCTTTCTTGAAAACAAGCAAAATGAAGACTTTGTAGGGCACTAATATATCCAAGATGAGAAACAACCTGTTCTCCCTAAAATGACAAATGTATCTGACACGTACCTTTATCTTCCTGCTTTTCACAAAATGTACCCACTCAACAAGAAATCTGTGTGGAAAAGATCTTAACGTTTCTAATCTTTTTGTTAAAGCTAAAAGTACATGTACAAAAATAAGAAAGCAAGAAGTATGGCCGAATAATGGTGTGGTATCACAGAAAATATTATTTCAAAGCATCACTGCAAGTGCGACATTGCTTGCACATCTTCATAGTGCATGCGTATTTTTGATTCTTTTTTAAAAATATACTTATGTGTACTAATATGTGAAATTATTTAAAATGTATGGAACCCATGATTGTGGTGTTTTGAAGGCTATTTCGAAAAACTGTTCGAAATAAAGATGTGCACTAAGATAAGCTGTATCTGTGCAGGCGTTCTTTTAAGCTGATTTCAAAGTTAAAAACATGATCTAAATTATCTCTTTACTTTGAAACGTAGCAGCAGCAGCTACATCTCTCTCACTTACAGATCTCACTTCACCAACACCTTCTTGGGAGTTTTACTTAAACCAGCCCTGTAGAAACAACAACTGCTTCTGCTCCAAACTGGAAAGCAGTTCACTCTTGCTCTTTGAACTGAGGACAGTTGAGAATAAGCAGTTTTTCCCCCTCAATTCAGTACATCAATACTCTGTAGCTCACACAACAACAGAATCTCCTCTAAGTAGTCTTTTTTGTGGCAAATTTCACTTACAAAACACAAAAGGTTCATTAGAATCTTGTTTAGCTTATTTTTCTCCTAATTTATACAAAAAACCAAGTGTATCAAAAACCATTTAAATCTCCAGGTAACTTACAGGCTTCTCATCTAAACTTGCTATGTCAATTTAGATATCTCAAATCTCTGACCAAGAAAATTTAACTACTTCTTTAACCTCCCACCCCAGTTTTCAAGGCATAATTCTTATTGACGCATGAAGGCCAAGCACATTTTCACTTAGTTTTATTTGCTGGATGCTAAATGTTGGCCTGCCCCTGTCTCCTGCTCTCGGTGTGTGGTTTCTTACCCTCAGCCACAGTGAGGAGGTTGCCCACGTCTGTAGCAGAATGGCACTGGGCTGGCTCAGAATTCCTGACATTCCCCAGCGGCAGGAACGGATCATAATCACTGGATGAGAGATCTGCGAGACTCAGCACGTAATGGCTTTGCTGAGTATAGGTACTGGAGCCATTAACACAACAGTGCAAAACCTGGAAGAGCAAAGAGCACAAAACTGAAAAAGTCATGAAGTGTTCATTAGAGCCACAGTCAGTGATGAGTGAGCTGCCATAATTTGAAGCTACCAAGCCAGTATATGCTGCAAATAACATTTACATCTAAATTCAGTATTTTAAAACAAGACTCTCCCTTAGGATGTATTTTGTGCATTAACAGATCAAACTATCTCATTCCACTCCAAACAAGTTAACTATTTCTGCGGATTCTTTTCCTGACTTGTTTTGAGCAGATGATCTTCCTCTTTCCACCCTCCTGTGTTACACATCACCTCAAACCGCTTTTCTTCCTTTATAATTTTCTGCACTGATCTTAGCTTCTTATAACAGTAACTATTATACTGCTAACATTTTAAACTCTTAACAACTCTTCTGAGAATCCAATGATCATGACTCTCTATAGCTTCCTAAAAATACTTTTGCTCCTAACAGGACCCAAGAAATGCACATTTTTAAAGACTAGCCTTATACTAAATAATAAATTGCATTCATTTTTCATACTCACTCTGTAAATATAGTCCAGTAAAGGAGCTCTGGAGGTATGTTGGTCTTCAAGAACACCAGCAGACACTGGCTCTAGTAACATTTTCATTGGTAAGGCCATACACCAATCCAATAAGCAAAGTAACAACGAAACTATGAACTAAACAGAAACACGTAATACAGTATTTAGGTAAAATCCATCAAATTCGCTCAAGTCCTAACATGTGAATTTGAAAGTTTAAAATAAGACTTAGGGGAAGAACATTCCATTTAATAACTAGTTCAAACAGCAAAAACAAACAACAGATTTTGTTCTTTTAAGTCACGTACCTTTTTATCTGCTTCCACAGAAGAATACTCAGCACTTGGCAAAAGAAATGCAACAGTGGCCACAAGGATCTACAAGAAAATAAGCAAACAGAATAGCAGAATGATAGTTAACTTCTCTCTCCTTTAAAGACAGAGCACATCCTTCATTTCACCAAGATATGAAAAGCATGACATTCTCTGAAGGGCATCTACCTGGACAAGCAGTATCCAAGCCAACTTCAAGGCATCACAAAAAGTGTTCTGGGAATATACTAGCACAAGTGAGAAAAGCTTATCGGTCCTAGGACTGCAGCAAATAATTCATTTAACAGTATCTGCAGAAGAAACTGCTCCTGTAACTCTGAACTCAGGTTGAGCAAAGAATTTAGACAGCTTCTCAAAGAACTTCCATACAAATATTTTAAAGAAACATTAAGACATACTTCAGTGATCTTCCTGGGGAGAGAGCATTCATACTTCTGAAGCTTTTCCCAGTAGGAAACTAGCAGCTGAAGAACATCACAGGCCACCTGAGCTACCAGTTTATTAGAAAACTGAAAGAGAATAAATAGGTGATTAAAAATCAAAAATTATATTCATATATTTACACCTTTAGTTTTTCTATATTCTAAGTTATATTGCAGCCACACAAACTATATAAAATATTGATGGAGCAAAACAGCAAACGACATTATCTGTATATTTTTAACTTGGTCTATTGCAGAGAGAGTTAAATACATAATCACATACTACTTTTTCAAAGATTTTGTATTTTTATATAGTGTGTCTAAGGTGGCACACTGAAGAACCTCATCAGTGAAAAAATATACTGCCTGCCCAGTTTGATTTCAAGTTTAAAAAATTACATATATAATTTTACATATAAAAATTACATAACATATACATGTGCACGTACATATATAAACATACACACACATGCAGTTGGTGAATATTTCTAGAATTAAACACTTCTTTACATAGCATTTATTAATTACACAGACCATCATAGTAATACCTTGAGTGTCACGCCTATGACATTAATTGCTTCCTTCACCTGAGGATGGTTTGTGCATTGCGTGAGTTCTTCACATATCCAAACTCCAAGGCTACAAATGGCTATGCACCTTGAGAAATAAATATGTCTTTGTTAGAAGCTATGGTCATGGCCCCAGGACACACCGAAGTCGCTTGGTCTCCACGAGCCCGAGGTTCACTGGTGAGAGGTCTAACACTGCGAGGGGAGCCCCGTTGACGTGTCTGGTGACTGTCTGTGGGGCCTCCAGCAGAGCAGGGGGTTCTGCTCAGAGTGTCCCGACACCACAGAGACCCTCTGTACACCTGCTGGCTCTTCATCCCTTAAATAGCAGCCCAAAGTGGAAGCAGTTAAAAGTATGAACATTTCTGAAGGTCTAAAATGCAATCCGATTAACGTATCTTCTTGAAGACGGGCAGGATACAGGTAAGAGCACTTTAATGATATATGTAAAAAATACCCAGTCTTTATATTTGCCTTATGTTTGTGAGATTATGTACTGGCCATTCAAGTTAACTCTTAAAAGAAATGCATTTGAAAGATTTGCACCTCCCCAACAAAGCCCCATGTAAAATTTGTACTTTCTTAATTAAATATATGGCAAAGAATATTATAACAAGGATTTGATTTCATGTAAAGGACATGTAAAGGATTCCAGAAAGAAAAAGCGAAACTTTTGCTTTATTTAATCTTTTTTTTTTCCTGCCATTTTAGCACTCCTAATCGGTTTCTTTTACTCAATATTTTACCTTGCAGCTTCACTTGGCTCCTCAGTAGCATTCTTCAATAAAATATTTATGAGGTAACCCTAAAATAATAAAATCAATTAGAATAAGCACTTTTTCATACTTCTTATTTATAGTTGATTAAGTTTGACAAGATCACAAGTTAGAGAGACATTTCCCTAAGTATTTTTACTACATATCAATTTTGCATTGTCAAAGGAGCACAATTTGCTGAGTACACTAAGCTACACTAAAGTACACTACTGTTTATGGATAAATAGTTGAGCTAAAATCACACACGAGAATCAAGATTGAAACCAATTATTTTGCAGAGCTGCTATATATTTATTAACTGCATATTCCGCATTTGATAATTCAACATATGATAATTGAACAGGTGGTGTTTAAGTTTTAAGCAAGTCACATTTGACAAATTCAGTCTGCATTCTGGTCCAGAGAAAACACTGGTTCTAAACCTAGATTTTTTTCCCTGGGGCTTGAGTTGTACTTGGTTAAGAAAGCAAGAGGTGGAATAGACAAGGTTAAATACTCAGCATTCCCTTTCCTTCTCTTCTTGGGATTCCTCAACAGCTGGGGCTGATTCTGGGCCAGGATTGAAAAAAAATGAGTTACTGTACTAAAGGGCAACCAACATTGGTGCTAGGCCACTGCTAGGACAGGTTTGGACTACAGGCAACATTCTAGGTGCCTTTTATTGGGCTTCACACTGGGAGGATGGGAGAGAGTTTTGTTATTCCCCTCCAGGACTCTTACTGTGAATTATTAAATTACAAAGGTTTAATTCCAGTTGTGCAATCAAGACCGCAGGGTGCCCCAGTAAATACATTCTCCCAGATTTCTTATAATATTAATAAGGCAAAAAAAAAATCTCCCTTTATGCACAAATTGCATCTCTTTAGGACAAGTCAATCACTATTACGCACAGATACAGCGAGTAGACCCTTTAAATAATAGCACCAACAACACTTAATGAATTGAACTGACAGGCATCTGGCTGAAAAACATAGCATTTGATCATAGCCAGTTCACTCTCCTTGAAAATAAAATGTAATTTGCACTATCTAAGCTTTGTTAATTTTATGGTTATTTTAAGCAAAGCAACGCTTATCAAATAAGAACATATATTGTGAGTTTTTTTTTTTTTAAGTGGGTTTTTTTTTAAAAGGGGTTTATTTTTAAGAAAAAGTGTACAGTAAAAAGAAATGGATTTAATTGTAAAAATACTTGGCTACATAAAGATTTACAAATGAAATGTGACTTCACTTTTACATCTGCAGTTCCTGTGACGATCTCGACGGCTTCTGAAATGGGCTGCAGTAGCGGCGTTCCTTGGTAGATATTTGGAAAGCAAACAAGAGAACCAAGGATGGTGTGAGCTTCTGAACGAGGGGCCTATGAAAGGAAGAGGATGACAACACAATTTTTAGCTTCATGAAGTTATCCAAACAACATCTTTAGTTGTGAGCTAGTAGATACTACCTACTTCTTGCCTTTCTTCTTCCCTTTAAAACTGCAGTGAAAGAAATAGTACAGCAGTGACTTGTAAACACTTATTTTCTCCATGCTTTTTGTTGCAGGGCTATTGTAGTGTTTTTCTGCCTATGAACCTTATGCAAAGCTCTTTCTGTACCAAGCAGATACTACCTATGTGTTTCCGTGCAATTACCCTGTTTCCTGATGTCTACGCTACCTTTTTCACTTCTCTTATTTCCACAGAGATATTTTTGGGAGCCCCTGGTCTGGCATGAGTGTAAGAAAGGGAGCAATTCCTGTAGTCCCACAGCCCACCCCATACACCGTGATGGGATGGGATGCACAACACCTCCCTGTGTGGGGGGTTTCCTTGGAAAGAAAGAAACCCTGCAGGTGGAAAAGCAGGGAAGCTACAGGGTGTTCAAAGAGGTCCCCAATACTGGTGATTCGATGGCTAATCTGAGCTGAAACACCTATAAGTATGTCAGATACTTACCAAAATCAGCTTTATTTGCTGAGCTGAAAAAGGCTTTTACTTTTTCCTCAATTTACTAATTTCTATTACAGAAAGGCCTCAGGCCTGCTCTTGAACATAGCGGCCAAAGAGACGCCAAAATACTAGCTACATAGATGAAATGTGCTGCTTACAGGGCTTTTTCTTTTGTAACTGCAATGAGCATAAACACATGCTATATACACTGCAGAGTATTCTACTATTAGCTATAAACCACAAGCAGCTAGAAAATGTAAAGGTACAGAATTGACCCTCTCTAAGCAGAGTCCAAGATGAAAGCGCCAAAAAGCCTTAATGTTGTTTTTTTGATAATTAGCCTTATTTCATGCATCCGTGGGTTGATTTAGGGATATAAGATAGATTTAAAGCTTTCTGTGTAGAAATCTTTGTTTGAAAAGTAGGTGTACATCTACAGGACACACAAAAATTTAAAATAAATATATAGAACTCTACTTATATTCCCATACTAAATGACCAAACAGATTAAGAATAGTTATCTCAAAAATATTTTTAAATTACATATGAAAAGCCTGTAATACCCATTCTTGTCAAATTCTGAAATTTGTTTTACTAAATACTTACCTTTACACAGTTATATATCTTATTAAGAATGCACTGTTATAGAGGTTTGTATTTAGAGACCCACCTCTAAAGGGATACATTTCTGTAAGGTCTATGTCCTAGATGCATTCACCTACTTGTATGCAGTGTTATCACAACAGTAACGTCTTCTTTATCGCCGACTGACACAGTTTGTCAGTACAAACCTTTTCTTTCCTACCTACCTATTCCCTCCTCTTCAGTTCTCCCACACCATCCCCTCTACCAGCAAATCAGGTTTAAAAATTCAGCTTGTCTCACACATGCATATAGCTGACCACGTCACTCTTCCTAATTGCTTCACTGCAAACCTGCAGCAGGAAATTCAAACACTTTTCATACAATGGCATAAATGCTCCCTTCTTGCTTCCCAAAGTCTATTTTTTGCTTTTCAACTTTTCTCAAAACACTTTTTTACTTCATAAATCTCCTATACCTAGAACTGCACTAGAATTAACTATGCACATAATAAAAACACGTAGGGAGATTCCCATTTCAATAAATCTGTCAAAAGCTATAGGGCAAAGAGCTATAAATGCAATTACTGCTACATGACTTTCCATAACGCTGAAAATTAGCACACGGTACACAAGTTCTATACTTGTGGGAGGAAGAGAGGCTTTTTAAAAAGACTTTCTATGGAAAATTAAATTTTCACTTCTTATTAGCACTTCAAGATTTGGATCGGTAATTTACTGGCTGAGAACACTTTTTTAAACAGATTTCAGAAAATTAATGGTTGCAAATTCCTTGAGGGACAATGAAAAAGTGTAACTAGAGTCACCGTTTCAATCCTG